TTTCAGAACCTCGGGACTTCCGTCTGAAGTCAACTGCGTCATCTTACGACGGCGATTTTTTGGATCGAATGCCAATATCGTCAATCAGCGGCGGGCCGACACGTTCGACGACAGTCCAAGCAACGTTAAGTGGTTGACGAGAAGGGTCCAGTGTGGAAAATACTAGTTGGATAGTGATACCCAAGGTCTGAAATTCAAGCATTCGAGAAGTGGTATATGTAGGTGTTTGGAGCAGATGCAAGCCGATAGGCAGACGCTACGTATCCATGCGTATGCTCAAGCCATAAGACATGAATTACCCTCATTGGTGAAACCATGCTTGAATGTGTGCCGTTGAGCCTGCACATAGTGATTTCATGGCTTGCCTGATCTAAGTGCTCCCAGTGATATCTAGAACTTCTCCCGTTAATGGGTTCAGCTCAAGTGACTACGGCGCCATGTGAACACAATTGACGACTTATTGGATGGGATGTAGTCCTGGCTAGTCTCAGTGAATGAATTCGAAAGACGCTGTCGAAGATAGTAGTACACCACTCATGGTTGGTGGTTCCTCACGAAAAACTGTGAAAAATCCCGATCCGACTCTCGATCCTATTTCCGAAATTTACTGGCCCTGGACTCCGGTGGCGTCAACCCGGCTTCCGGGCGGAGGCACATCATGAATGCGGCATGTGCCGTAGACCTTGAACTTGACTGATTTGACCTTTAAGCCAGCTTCCGACTGGATTGTTGGGCCAAGCAGCCATCCATGCCACGAATTAGCACAAGAAGAATGAGCTGAGCAGAATATGTGGAAAGATTTGGTGATACGATTCTCGGAAATGACTCCGGTCATTATCCGCACATTTTGGAATCTGCGTGCTTTTGGGGAGCTGGATCCCGAGCTGCACCATGCAAAAATCCACATTAATCCCCAGTCGGCATAACTCACGCCGCGCCTCTCCTCCTACTTTATCATGGAAGATAGCCGGCAAGTGTGGCGGAAGAGGTGTGGCGCGGTTCAAACTCCGGCTAAGGCCGAGTCAGCAAGGGCTGAGGAGGGTCCATGAGCCGGGGCTACTCAACTTGACGCGTCGAGGCGTCACGGCGCGTCAAGCGTTTCTCCTCCCTACACCTACTCAACAAAAAACTCTCATTCATCATCGTAACACAACATTCGCCAGTATGTCTGGTACCGCAGCCGATCTTCAGCAGGCAAAGCAAGCTCGAGCCGCCCACGCGCGTGCCGTGAGAGTCGCCAACAAGGAGAAGAGGGAGAAGCTCAAAGCAGCGAGAGTTGCACGCATGGCGCGTGCCCGGGCGGCAAAGAAGGCTTGAGGTTGGTTTTGAATAATGCAAAGCTGGAAATACTGAGCTAATCTCACTCGCAGTGCATGTATCCGTACGGCATTGTAAAGATGTCTTCGACGGCTGGGACTGGTAGATCGTTACGCCAAGTGTACCACGGTGAAAGTGGATTGTTGGGTGGATAACCATTGTATTTTATGGGGGCGTAGGGACTTGGGAAGAAGCGACTGAAATTTGGTTTTCAATATCATAGTAAACAATGCTGCGGGAGACCCCTGATCTATTGACATTTCGTGCAATTCATTGACAGACAAATGGTGATGCCATAACGGTCTCCTGTAGACCTTGAGGTGTGCTCGCAAGCAAGAGCAGCAAATTATACACGGCGCGACAGACTGCTTGCTGACTGGCGAGCTCCTGCCTTTCAAAGCGACGCGAGTTGATGCTAAAGAGCAAAGCGATGCATTCCGTGGAGATGTCACTAGGCTATGGGAGGGCGATCGCTCATCTTGGTTTCGAATTGCTCGCGCGCGAAGTCCTTTGCCGGGAGTCGAGTAGTCCTGGATTTTCGCGTGTCGTGACTTCCCCTTTGGGAGCATTTCTGGGAGTTTTATTGTCAATGTTGCTACTCCTCTTCGCTGGTCCTTCTTTTTGCAGAGTAGATAACGGGCCGCTCAGGTCTACCGCCCAGCACCATACAGTAGTAGCAAAGACTTTCTATCAATCAAAACCACTCCATTGATGTGGGAACGGCGAGACATTACGAATCCCGGGAAGAATTGAGGCAGTAGATCATTTCATCTGAGCGCGTGGCTGCATTTGACTTTCCCTGACTGAAAAGAAAGCTGCATTTTCACTACTACGGTGTGATATCTTTCTGTTGAGCCCCAACATCTTCACTCAACCTCCTCTCCCCTTGTCAGTAATCTTAATGAGGGATGAATGACCAAGAAGATCACCGCAGAGGACTACCACGATGTTGCATCGCCATCTCCTGCGTTGATGATGGCATGTTGTAACTATAGTGTGTTTTCCAGGACGGGGGAGCATCTTTCGAGCGTCTCATTCTTGGGTCAAATTCTGTACGACACTGAATTCTAGGCATGTCTTTCTTCGCCAAGCGTGGCAGCCAAATACGGCAGGGGGTGAGAGTGCCAAACAATCTTTTAGAAGCGATCGAATAGTGTTCTTTCGAAGATGATGACGAAGTATCATCGCCGCCATTGGCGTTGAGGTAGCAGGCAGATACCACGATGGCTTTCATACCACTAGCCAGACGACCAGAGGCAAGCTCCACCCCGGCACTGGTGAGCCGGCGATAGCCACGCCCTGCTCTCAATTCTGTTGCGCAGCCCTGCATCAAGCGCCATGTGTGTAAAGTATACATGCATTCACACTGAATCATACTGCGGCACCGAGCAATTCAAGAAGGAAAGAGGAGTGGTTCTTCAAGATGAATCAAGCTTGAACTAGTCCTGGGCCTTGGCGGTGGTCAATATCTGCAAATGCACTAAAGGATATCGATATGAGATGAGAACTCTTTAGGATCGGTCACTCCAATCTTGTCACGAAGCAGACTTTTCGAGCCCGTAGGCCGGAGTGGACTCTGAGTACTGCGAGCGCTGGATATGAGATCATCTATGGTTAGTCTAGACGTGGACTTGTTCACCTGTGACTATCGTCAATTTTCTGTACGAAACTTCGACCCTGGGCAAATAAGTGCTGCACACTCTTAGGCAAACTTTCACTGCGCAATCCAAGGAAGACGTTACCTGCAGGCTAGGTAGTCTCGAGTATCCTTGACAGTGCTTTAGCGGTTCTGAGTCTTAAGTTGACCAGAGTACAGTAATGTTGATACCGATACTGTCAAGAAAAAAAAGGCCCTGTAATAGAGGTACGCGGGGATCTTGCCCTTGTGCTCCGTGACGCCAAGAGCCTGGGAGTTGTCAAACTTCCAGAAGAGCAGAACGAAGAAAGCATGGAGAAAATATAGTCGAATCGAGAGCAAAGAAGGAGATTATGATTGAGGGGCAAAAGTCAGAGAAACGTATTGATATCCAGATTTGGAGACAAAAAATCTCAAAGCAGAGGAAGTTGTAAGAGATAGATCATCCCTGCAATCAAACATTATAGGTAGTGTTCTTGACACCAAAGCGTCCGAGCTTTCATTCAATTACCACCAGATTTGACCAGACTCCGTTGATCACATACTTACTCATGCGTGGTTGTAGGGGATAATTGTTATGAAAAGCGACATATTAATCCCTCCAAATCTTCCACAATCAGCACTATATCTTGAACTGTGTCTAGGCTAAGGAGTGCTTTGTCAGTCATGGCAGTCAACTTCTGGCACGACCTGGGAGTCCTTGGTTGTGGGGGAGTATTAGTGTGACCGAGGCGTTGTGATACTACCACTGGCTTCTCGCGGGGCGGCATAGTATATATTATAAAACAATCATTGGAAGGTGGCTCTTCCGTTGCATTCGGCTTCTAGTTAATTTACTAAACCTTAGTTGCGCGCCATCACTTTATCCGAGCACAAATAACAGAGTATCGCGCGGGTGTATATAATAACATATCAACCACACGAGATTACACTATGGTTTAGTTACTCTCGCTCGGGTCGGAGAATGGGACCTGACGTATTGATAAGATAGAGACATCCACGTTCTATCTTTCGATCAAATGTAGACAGCTCAGCCTACCAAATGCCGTCATCTGCCAGTGGTACTAGGCATGAATTCAGCTGAAACGTATTGGCAATTTAAATTGAACCGCGTAAACGTGAGCTTTCAGCCAATAATTACCCATGAGTATTTAACTTTCACGTATGAAAACGGTAATTTACGCCTATCAACGATTAACCACTCTAGCAGCCACATATTTTCGCTCGGAAACGTTCATTTTACAGGACAAACCGTCTTCGATCCCGCTAGAGCAATCCTGTCTCGCTATGACTGTATTTTCACATATTGCAAGAGCATCGTCCTTTATACCTGCTTCCGAGTTAAACTGGCTGTTTACCTTGTATGCCTTGTGATTTCAAAGGTTATCCAGGCCTTATAGCAGGTTTCAACATTTGCGGACAGGGTCTTTTCTGCAAAATCATGTTCGAAGCTCAGTCAACGGGCTTCAGAATAGTGTAAGTATGTGAATACATACCAGAATTCATCATGTAAGACCAGCATATAGTAGATTGTAAATAAAACAATCTCTTTAGTACTTATTCAGAAACTGAAGTATCATAACTATATAATGTCCCATGCTGCTTTCTTAGTAATACTTTACTTTTCCAGTCATATCTAGCCTCTCGGTTTCCGCCTCATCATCTAACACTAGACATATGTGGTGAAACCTATCTCCCCTAGCTATCAGTCTCTTTTGCCATAAAAGGGAAGAGCTTACTCCTGCACCGATGTCTGCGAATTCCTTGTCTTTAGGTGGTGTTGGTCTAAGGGCGAGAACGAAAAGTTCATGTAGACGTGACCAAGGCTTAATACATTGGACCCAGAATCGCTGTCGGCGTCCCATAAGCTCCAGGATATGTGCATACTCAACCGTCAGAGCGTAGAGACACACCACTCCAACATAGATGTACATAATGACTCTTGAAAACGTTAAGGTCTTTCGAGGATGCCCGGTTCCGAAGCCAAATCTTTCAACTTCAAAGTCAAGGCTGAGGCGGCTAGGAAGCATCTCGCTGTACACACGATCTAGATTGATGTCTCTGACAGATTGCCTTTGCCATAGTCCCATTTGGTATGGGTTGCGTTTAGTGGCTGTACTTTGAACACTCCTTGTTGAGAATTGTACTGCTTGGTCAGATCAATATCGCTCATCTGATCTGCGTCTGCCTCTACATCCACAGACGTCATACCGCCAGCTCCTGTGCGAGCTAGCGCTTCGGTAAGATACACGCCGAACACTGTGGACAAAAGATACTCTGCTCCAGTCGTTCCCAGCTCAGTAAGGAGCATCTCGGGAGAATTGTCGACATCCTTGCTCGAGCCACTGAAAAGGTGAAGGATCTTGTAAAGTGCTGTAGAGTTGTTATTCCAATCATCGCTCATCGAGGCCGTGATGTTGGGATCTGTGTATCGCAGCCAAGTCTCATTCATCGTAATGACGTGTCCGCCACTCAAAGAATTTTGATGAAAAGTTTCTTTCATGCGCTTCCTGCTATTAAAAGCCGAGTAAAAAGTACTTCCATCCTTGGAGGACATCATTGAGAAATTGGAAGGCATCCAGCTTGCTAACAAGCCACAGGTGAATACAAGGTCGTTCGCCGCAGACTGGGGATTCGATAGCTTTCCAGCTACCTTGATCACCAAGTTTCGATTCCCGTCAATTGAGTAACCTGTCGTGAAAGTGGAGTTATGTTGGACTGATCTCGTCCACCATACATCTTCGAGTTCTGGAGGATTGAGCTTGTAGGTCTGACATTCAGGGTGTCCAAAACAGTTCAGGGCATCCGTTGGATACGTGAGCTTCTCCTTTGTGTCCAAAACGCTGTCCAAATTGTGAACCTGGCATTTCGACTGTACGAAAGACTGAATAAACGGTCTGCCTTTTGCGTCGTTCTCGGTGTCGTTATAGTCAACAAGTCGAGCCTTGATATTATATCGAGAGTTGCGCGATAAGATACCAACATCATTGTCCTCAATGAGCTGCTGAAAGAGACCCAACGTAGACAGTAGAAAATGGGATGTAGTAGTTAAGAGCGATGTTTTTCGACGTCCGACTGGGACGTGCACCAGGTCCCTTCGAAGATCAGCCGAGGGAAGTTGGAAAGTGAGATTATATTATAAATAGGTCGATCGGACGCTATATGCCCAATTCCAGATCTCTGGAAACCCACCAGCTGGGCACCAGGACTGAACGATTCCTTCGCTCTTCGAGCATAGCTTGGAAAAGATGGCGATATCATTCAATATTCGAGGCCAAACCTCCTCAGGGCTGTAGTCGTAGACGATGGGCATTTTGATCTCGCTAAATGCGCTCGCGTGGTCCAATAGAAATCTCTCCAGGGTCGGAATAAGCATAAAGGCGGACATCGGACCAACGACAGTAGACATGAGTGTAGAAAACACCAGGTAACAAGTCAGAACGACTTCCGTGAGAGAAAGATATTTGAATCCCATGTGCCACAGAGGTGAAGACGGAGCCAAGATGTATTCCAAGTCTCCGACCCGATAGGCTCCGGTGAGGAATCCTAGCTTCACGCCCTCCCCTACTAGTCTGCGTCGACACATGGCCAGCATAATGAAAGAAAGAGAGGCGACGATGAGAATTTCGCGTAGTTTTGCTGGTAGCTGGAGTGAATTGATGATGACGTCCGCGTTGATCCCTCGATCTGGAGAAGGACCGTCTAAGGCGAACCAGTATCGTTCTTTTCATCCAAGCCATGGAGCGAATGCTGTTAAAGCTAGAGCAGCTGTGTGCACAGCAACCTCAACCTTGCTATGCTTCCAAAACGATGTTCGCGTGATTGCTTTGGGCTTCCTGTGATCCCCACACGCGCACCCACTCAGCCTTCTAGGAAGATTGGGACCGCTGAGGATGTCATTAGACAACACTGTCACCGTATCGTCACCTTTGCCACAAAAGGAGTTATAGCGAGGGGTCAAATCATGATGATTTTTCAAATCTTCCATGTGCGGGTTACGCAAATTTTCGTGAGGGCAAGCCTTCTCTGCAGCAGCGTCGATTGTTGTTGAGAGAGATCTATCGTGGTCGGGCAAATGCTGGCTGGCGTTGCGAATGGTGTTGTTGGAATTGGAATGAGTCTCGGATACGATAGATTGCCTAAGGGCGCCGTCTAAACGGCTAAGTTGTGTTGTAGTCTGTGGAAGTGCCATGGTAATATCTCGCTGATACAGAACGCACTGTTCGTCGGCAGTATTGTTACATTAGATGACCAGGCTGGCTAGGAAGAAGACCTGTTCTTATAACGATTTATAGCGTGTCTGGCTTTGTCTTGGTATATTTCTTAGTTCTGATGTACAACACAGAGATTGCACCTCCTTTCCGTCCCTCAAAGTGTATCTTCAACACCGACTGCAAGCCCGAGTTTTCGAAGATAGCTGCATCTAGGCAGTCGTGCGTTTTGCAACAATCGGTTGTGGAAAGCCGCCAGTAAACTTTGTCAAATGCTTTAGGTAGCCCACAAATTCTGTTTGCGGTGAATCTCAAGCATGCTGTGGAGGCTTTCTAAAGAAAGGAATAAATCTTGGAGGCTCAGTCGTCCAGTAAAATGGTCTTGACACTCACATGACACCGTAGTCTCGCCAATCCTTCCTGCGCACGAGACCGCCAACGCGTTCCCGCTCCAGACATAGCGAACGCCACGGAATTGAAGTCAGACACGGCTGATTATTGAAAGCGGGCCTTTTATCATGTCCAGCAAGCCAATTGGCTTAAGACTAGAATGAACGGAAAATCTGACGGGAAGGCTTATAACTTTTAGCTGATATAAGATATCTGCATCGAGAAATGTGGGGCAGCAAGCTCATAAAATCATACGACAAAAAAGGATATTGCTTTGACTTCCGACTGAACTGACCATGATACTGGAGCGTACTCTTCAATATTGTTGAACGTCGATGCAAATTTGCCCCTTGCCTAGGATCGGTCAATGACATAAGGTAGCTATCAGAATATGTGTACTACAATTCATCATACTATCGTGTTCACCAGAATTCTTAATTCAAGCTCTCTTTCACCAATGCACCGTTACAAATACAATGATCTCACAGCATACAGAATGCTTCATGATGACAGTCAAAACGTTCAGGCGATCCTTGGAGGCCGAAGGGCGTCGTTTAATTCCAAGTTCTAGTACCTTGTCATAGCCGAAGGGAGTGAGGTGTTTGGCCTGCAGTACGTTTGCTTTCAATTCACCATAAGACTGATTCCGACTGGGTTCGGCAAAGACAGTTATGCGTCTTCAATATTCTGGTTTGTTTTAGGAGCACGATCCTAAAAGTCTTTCCTCGGGTGAAAGAGATGCTTTCGCATGTTGTGAGACATGAGGCGCGCCCTTTGTCTCTTCAAGTCTTAGTTTTTAGCGCAGTGTTCCGGCCTCGGAGGTATTCCCGATCTTAGGTAGTTATCACTATAGAAACTTGACGGTTTCGGAAGAACACTGCAATGAATCCACATACCTGTCTCACGCATCCACTTGAATTCATCTCTAACCTAAATCAGCTGTGAATCTGGCCTTGGAACAAACGCTCCTCTTGGCTTATTCAATGCTGTTGCTATACCTTGCACAGGGCAGATGGTTTGGATCATGCGCTTCTGTGGGATACAAGCAGTCAGTTGACTGGTCATTTTCTGCTTAAGTATGCATAAGAGTACTTGTCGAGAGTTGCTACAGGGACTGTTGGTGACCGCTATGGTGCGCTTAGGTCGCGGGTTGAGTTAATCCGCCTACCTACTCAGGTGAGTTGTGGAATCTCTTCCACCTACATCAGAGGTCTCATCCAAGAATCGTGGATCCATGAGCTTGAAAATGTAGGCGTAGTGGGTCTTTTCGTTCGCGGCAAGATCAAAATATACACGTATATACTTGCTATCTGACGTGGGATAAATGGTCGAGGTAAAAATGCAAAGTGGAGTCAAAAGCGGATGGGATCCCTTGTTTTCCATTGATAGACGGTTGTATGTGATGGAAATAAGTGTCAAGGATGCCTAGGTTGCATGCAGCTTTCTTGCGGGATTGTTAAGGTGATATATCAGAGTTGTACGATTAACTTTAAAACAAGCTCTCTGAAGGGCAGGCAGTTTTGAATCCGCTGTAATGAGAATCTAACCATGGCAAGCGTTGCTGTCTAATTCATCTTACTACGTACCTTCATATACCACAAAGCCACTATGAGTGCCCCTCGATCAGAAGAGGGGAACTCCGATACGCTACTTTAGAGCCAAGTCTAAGGGCATGCTGTTATGAGCCTGTTTTTGAAAACTGATCGCGATATCTAAAAGAGAGTTAGATTACAATGATTGCACATCGAGAAACATTGAACCTGGGTTTGAGGAGATGTGATAGAAATTTGAAGTTCAAGTAAGTGCTCTGTATTTCACGGGGGTAGATGCCTCAGACTAAGCGTTACTCGGGCAATACCTTCTGACTTGCCTTTTGGCTCACGGTCTTTCCGTGTGCGGACTCCGTCTTATCGACATAACCTACCCTAGTTTCCCATCGCCTTCTTTTGATATACTGGAGAGAACTGATCCATGCAAGATCACGATCTTTTCATGGTAGATAAATATCGCGAAGGGGGACCGAGTCCAATGGCTGGCCTTTACGGCAACTGAACAACTCTTCGTAGCCCTGGCACGAGATTAGTATCATACAATTCATCCTATGGACAGTAATTGTGGTATACGAGAAGTTTGCGCTAGCCCCGTTTATTGCTAACGACTTCGCGTGCTTCATATTGCACAGATTCTACACAGAAGCTGGGGCTCGAGTTGAGTACTTGTAGAGCTGTTGGTGTTTCCTTGCGGAAAAGCTGAACCAGGTTTTAAACGACAATAGCTGTAAGCTTCAAAAATGTCAAGAGGCAGAGGGGGAAATAAAACGCCCTATACCTTCGAGACGCTGTATTGCCAGAGGTTCTTTCGATGCTCTTATGCCCATTCCTATTCCAGTGATATGCTACTGGATGCACCTTCCTCGCATCTTCTCGGCAATTGTCGTGATGGGTATCCCAGGTCCTGCCCCAAGTACTACACCTATTGTTGTTGATTATTAGGCCATTGGATCCATCCTGTGTAACGGCACGAAAGAAGGCGACATACCGTACACATTATAGCCAGCTTGAACGAGCTCAGTGGCGTCGTTACGAGTAGCTTTGTTGACAAGCTCAGGATTCCAGCCTTCAGTAACCGCCAGCGGACGGTACGGTGGCAAACCCCTATAATGAGCGGAGAGGTTAGCGGCGTGGTGTGATATTAGCTTAGTTGCTACGGTAGCGTCTCTTATGTGTATGCTTTCTCCATTTTTGCCAGAGCGGCCGAGGCCGTAATCGATGTTTTTGTGGGAACTTATGTTAACTAAGTAAGGGGTGTGCTACTGAGTGATGAGTCTTCGTTTGTCTTAATTTGGTTATGGAAGGAGGATGATTCTGGTATCTTATGACTTGATTTACTGCATAAATTAGCAGTAAAAGCTATCTTCTAAAACAGAAGTTGCCCAGGGACTTGATTATAAATGGATTCTTGGACGTGAGATAAAGCGCTTGTCGGTTGCTGTTTCGCTGTTTTCGGCTGATGTAGTTAACTCTTACGTGTAATAATAATATCCTATGTTACTGAGCTAATGTCCTTAGAAATAATTCCGATATACGGCGCATTATTTATTGGTTACAAGATACGGTATACGGTAAGCGAAGCTTTATTTAGTTTAGTAGAAGTTTGGGTCTCCACTACTAGTGCTAAGGTACCTTAAGCTAACTCACTGAGACCTAGTTCTCTTCGTAAACTTTTACTGTGGAATTTCTAAACCTTTGAAATCTAGAATGTGTTACTAAGCTACTGAATAAGTACTAGTAATCTCGTTAAACCTAGCGCTAGATCAGTTCCTTACTAGTTAAGGTATAGCATAGCTACTACTTTGGGTAGCCCTGGGTTGGAGGGATTGGGTATATGTAGTTAATCCTTTAGGTAGAGATGGCTTTGAAGGAATCTCGCCGCTTACCCGATGACTGTTTATTGAAGGCTTATATTAACTTTGGATATAAAGCCTAGAATGACCTAGTGATCCCGCACAAGATCCTTTTCTCTGAGACTTTTAACTAGATGGATTTAACTAGAGGTGTAGGGCTTGTACTAAAGGCCTTGGCAGAATAGCCGTTTAAGATGGTAGAATCTGTGTTAAAGGAAGAATAGGAGATCGCGTGATTAGGAAGAACTTAAGTAATATAACCCTCTTAGTAGGTAGGCATTCCATTTATCCGCGTGATTTGTCGTATTACTAAACTATTTTGCGAAGTGCCTCTGGCCTTGTGTATATTATACGTATACCTTAGCTATTTGACTTAGTATGCAAGCCTCCCGGTATTGATTAACTATATTATGTAGAGCTATGAATCCTATGCATTTGTTTCTAGGTTCCGTTCGTGATGTCTATAGATATTGCTATAGAGTCTCGTATTTTTGAGGGTTCTCGTAAGTTAATAATACTTGCCTATGTTACCTATATACCTAATCGGCTTTGGCTAAGGGCTTTCTCCCTATTTTTAATAGAATAATTGCCTGTGATAGTTCAAAAGCTAGCTGTCTTTAATTATTCTTTGAGGAGTGGTAAACAAAGACGCGGTATTGGCTTGTGTTAAGCTAATATTAGCTTGAAGGCAAAGAGGATGACTAAGCCTCTGCTAGTGCCGTGCTTATTCAGATTTGCTACCTTGCTACTTTACGTACGTAGGTATAAAGTAGTGCGGGGTATGTCGTTTGCCGTATTTTATTTTAATTATGCCATGGCGCTAGTTTTTAGAAGCTCGATTTATCTTAGCCTAGCAGAACTAGGAAGTCTGAAAGAATGACTGGTATATGTGTATGAGAGATATTTTGCTAATGGTAGACTCGATTCCACGCGACAGACGGCGAAAGGCTTACCGTAGAGTAAAAACTGGATGCAAAGCGTGTAAGACCCGTAGACAGAAGGTAAGGTTACGTTCCTGGTATTGAAGTCTGCTAGTCGTTAATCCCTGAATCAAAGTGTGACGAGAGAAGGCCGATATGCTCTGGCTGTACTAGGTATTTAACGGAATGTTTGTATTTATCCGTTGAGTGTATTGTCCGGAGATAAGTACTCGAAATAGCATATCTATAGCTAATTGCGCGTGTGCTAGACGCGACGACTAGTTATTTTATACCTCTGTCTCGAGACTTGAACCTTTCGGACCTGGAACTCTTGTATTAGTACCTGACGTCTATATGCAAAGCGACCTCGCAGCTGCCCGAGGTTACGGCTTATATCTAGACGATAATTCCTTACCTAGCTTAAGACTACCTATTTCTGATGCGCGGTATTTTTGCCGAAGTAGCTATCCATTTATCTTGGTTATATTTACGTTGAAAAAGCTATTACGCCCCACTGGTATCGAATCATTATCGGCTTGGTCTGCTAGATTTTAGGGTAGCACTATAGATTATAGATACGGATAACTGCGATGTATTAATGGCCTATTCTAAAGGCCTGGTATGGTGCGCATTTGCCTGGCATGAGTCGTTTTCCGTAGACGTGCAGGCGGTCTCTACTGTTGGGACCATTAGCTGGCTGCCTCAGTGGTTTAACCTCCTTCGTGGATCTTGCCTTATTGTTGAATTGTGTAGACGTTGGTCTACGAACTGCCTATACGCTTTACTGCCATAGCTCGACGATATGACTAAATTTTTTAATAGCACAGACGGCTGTAAAATATCTGTATTAAGAATACGGTTGACTTATAAAACGTATTCTCTGGCCTGCGAGGCTCTTCTATCTACTCTCTAATATTCCTTTGTACTAGCCTCTATGCGGTATCATAACACTCTTTTACGAAATGCTATTAATAATTGGATGGGCGCTTTACTTAATGATTATATTTCGCTTCTTTAAAAGGAAGAGCCATGGGCTCTTGTCCTGCTGGCTTATTTCTGTATCCTAATTTACCGGTCCGAAATACGTTGGTTTATGAAGGGTCACGGATCGCGACTCCTCTAGTTAATAATTGGACGTCTCGATAATTAGTGGAAAGATTACGTCTAGTGGCTACTGGAAGAAATTGGGGTGTGTAGACTACTTTATATTTGGTAGGATATGATTGTTCGTGATATCGTTATGTGCATCTTCTAGTAACAGTTGGCTGTGTGAGTAATTAGTTTATGCTGAATACCGGCCTACCTAAGTTGCAAGGTAGAGGTATAGGGCTCTAACTCCTATGGGATTGCTAGAATGAGGCGAAAATATGTTTATGGGGTATCTATACTATGTTTAATCGTAATATGGAAGTCTTTAAGACGTAGTTCATAGGAGAGAGAATATAAGAAAAGATAAAACCCTATAGCTTACGGTAGTTGGTGTGTATTCATAGAACGTACTTGGCCTCATAACTATATACATATTACGACCGATTTCTCTTTATGTTGATAAGATGGGGGCCGTACTATTTAGTTAATATATCTCGTAAGTGATAATAGTAGCGGAGCGTTATTTTGTGTCTGATCGCTATTTCTGAAGTACCTCTAGTAATTTTTTCCGCTGTCTATCGTTTATGTCTAAATGATATTTTGGCTAAAACCTTGTATAAGACGTTAAAAGCTTTGGTTTTTTTCTTGCGATAGCGATGTGGAATTGGGACCGACGTGGTTTAGTTCGCTTTAGCTGCTCTTTTATTTTTCTGCTTTTGATGGCTGCGCATTGCGTCTAGTAGACGTTACTTAAAGTAAGGTATTTATAAAGGTCTTCTTACTACCTGCGCATACGTCGGTCAGTTCTATTGAATTAATGACGACTTGGCGCTCTCTGCTGCGATAGAGAAGAGGTGACGGGTAATTGAATTATACTATACTGTATGTTATTGCGGCGTTGCTTACGATTGGCTAATGGATCTTCCCGAACGTTTGTGACTATGGGGCCATAGACTTGGGTATACGTGAAGCCTAAGGTCTGAAATGTTACTTAATCTCTAGACTTGTATTATTGTATATAAAAGGCAGAACTAAGCTGAGCGACGTTACTTTTATGTATTAAGTCGTAAGGTAGATTTGATAGGTTACTTAGAAAATCTTCTAATTTAGTACTTGAAAACAACGTAGGACGAACCTATGATTACCGACGGCGAGCTATTGAGTCATGAGGCGTCCAGAGAGGATTATGTCTTCATCATTTTACCTGCATCGTGGATACCATGACTCAAAGAAGTGTAATGAGTACCATTTGAGCATATCTGAAGAGCATGTCCCTCCCCACTATGATAGGCGGAGCGGTGACGGAACTACTAAACCTCGATCATAAAAGGCTCATTTTCCTTCTCGAATTGGCCATGACGATTGTTGGAAGTGAATCTTGCCTTCTTTAACCTACTTCTAAGGAATGACTATTCAAATTCAATAAGAGCTAAGAATTCTTCCTCCACTGTCAAGCAGCCCTTTAAAAAGTGCGTCTTGTCAAATTAGCTCTCCACCAGTGGAGACTTTAAGTGTGTCTGCCGCAACCGGGTGTACAAGTCACTCGGCGTATGTTGAAATTTACAGAGAGATGCCCAGCGCACTGACCAGGTCAAAGAGGTCCCAGTTGACTCGGAGACCAACAATTGTGCCGTCCTGCCACCTAGCAATCGTGTAATGCAACAGGTCAAAGTCTTTCCCAGTGGCCGAGATCGGCTTTCCAGATATGTACTCGGGCAGAACCAGTTCACCCTTGCGAGTGCCGCTGAGAAAGGCAGCGGAAGCAGTCCAGTCCCCCTGGCCCACGGTCTGTCGGTAGGGTTGATTTTCGAGTCGTAGATCGGGAAATGCGGTCTTCATATTGTTAAGCCAGTCGATGTATCCCTGCGGACTCAGTGGCTGATCAGAAAGGCCGAAGATCTCGGCACTCGGCGATAATTTGAGGCCTTCCAAAGTAAAGTTACCGTCATTCAGAGCATTATCGGACTGTGCCATGTAGGCTTTGTTAAGGTATGAGGTGTCTGTGTTGTTGGGACCCGCTGATAGCGGCGACGCAAGATTCAGTTCCAGATCAGGTAGATTCTCGGCCGGTCTGTTCGGCAACACGCCAAGCTGGCGGTAAATCAAAGGGATTCCTCCACCATCCATCCGTCGTTCCAGCGGGCGATCGTCATCAAGTCGTATTGGACTGGCTTGTTTGTAGAAGGTAGATAGGTGCCGTCAAGATTAGTCAAGGGGCCATTCTGAATGCCGGTGATAGTCTCAACGGCCACTGTCCAATCTCCTTCTCCGAACAAGATCTTGTAGTCGTGATTATGCAGGGTCAAGTCAGTGTTGGAGTACACGACTACAATGTCTTCGAGATGCTCTGTCAGGTTTCTGATGGCCGTCTCTTGATAGACCTTGACATTTTCATCATGATTGAAGCGAGCTAGATCTCGGGCATTGAAAGCGTCGTCAGATAGCTGCATCTGCCTTGTGTTCTGATCCACTGTCCAGTGTGTGATGTTGTTTTGGTTCGTTGGAGACTCCAGGGGAGGCGTGTCTGATGAACTTTTAGTCGCCAACAAGGTATGGTCCTTAGGCTAGCCTCTTACCTCGCCTCAGAATATGCCTCCCCGAGGCAGCTGCCGCGCGCTGTATGTGCATTGGGACAAGTCCACCACAAGCCGATGTCTTGTGGTTTATTGTCAAAAGTAACGCAGTAGTAAGGAAGTTCATGATGAATGGTGCTCGGGTTGCTTCTCGATATTGATGTGGTGATATGAAAATGGTTCCTTTGGTTGGGACATTCCGGATTTATAAACAATTCCTGTGAGATTTTACTACTACATCGTAGGTAGCTTTCATCCACTTCTAGTGATTTATAATCCTTCAAGCAGAGAAGAGCTGTGAATCAGTGTCACTATCCCTAGCAATCTCGGCACTTCATATTCTAGGCCGTGGGCGATAATGATGAGTCACGATTGTTCCCAGTTGAGGTCACTTCAACGGCCTTTGGCAGGTCTCGAGCACTTCAAAATACCGCATGGCTGCAATACTCGACATACGTAATTGCCGCGCTGTGTCGTACTACGCCGCAACCGGACTCCGGTGTGGATTCCACCTTTCGCCCATCAGTTAGCACTTTATGCCGTATACCGTATACCGTTTACCACATAGTGTTCACCGTATACCGTACCTCTAGTCCGCATAGTGTGGGCCGTCGCTTATTTCTGTCAGCAGCTATTAGGTCATCACCTTTTAAAATGACAAGGCCCATCCAATCACGTGTTCCACACTCTTTCGCCATGCCTCAACATTGAAAGCATAGATAGACTGCATTTCCCGTGGAAGGCCGAGCGAAGGGGGGAGAGGGGGGTGGCAGCATTAGTGTCCATATAGTGATTGAAGTCCCTAAGTATCTTGCTGGACTGTCAGTAGCTGGTTACATTGCACTACTGTACTAGCAACTGAAATCCTCCCTTGTCCACTTAACGAGCACTTGAAGATGTGCTGAATCCGTAGCATCCATATACTTCGGTGGCTTGGCAATGCATGTCATTCATTCTTGTCCTTTCGTTTAGGAGCGAGAGTGCGCACTGAAGAGACTTGGGAATCATATGGAGTAGAAAGATTGACAGTGGCGCTCGTCGAATAGGGGATTGATTATTCTCTTTTTCTTCTCTTGAAAAGTCAGTCGAGGTCTTGCCCATACTCTGACCCACTCACTCCGGCACTCATCGTTTTACAAGGTTCCTTGAGGCTCGTTATCGCAACACGGGTTGGTTATATCGGTGCTTGTGTCTTTCTTTTGCAAGTCGATTCGCATTCCCCTCGAATGTTCAACGCAGCCGTCACATACTCGGCCAGAGCTTGCGAAAGAACAAGTACCACACCCAGTCCCAGCTAGCTCTCAATGTCTGGATCCAGCTGTGCGACTCTCGGTCCTCAACCCCAGCTTCTAATTGCCTCCGTCCAGGTTAGGTTCGTCGGATGGCACACCCTCAATAAGAATCGCTCAGCGAAGGTGCTCGGTATATATTTCCGTAGTTTGCAACCAGACCAAGCGTTAAGAGTCGCGCATCCTACTTAACACCTTCTTATCGCGTACTAGTATAGCAAACCCGTAATATTCACAGTATTCTTCTCTTTATCGTGAGTCTCGTAACTGACCGAGGGTCACGTGGAGAAAGCCCGCTCTGTTGTTTATACCGATTATACAACATAGCCCGAGTCACTACTTAGTTAATGCCCTGTCAGTGGTCACTGTGATGGGGAGCCTGACATACGCGCGTCGCGCCTAAAAAGAACACCTTCCCTCCTCTAAACACAAAGAAATTGAGACTTCCTCTACTTAGCATTGCACGAACACGCCAATGATAATGATTGGACAGCACACGGATAGTCCAAATCAAGACCCCACATGATAGTCGGCACCGAATCTGATCTTCAGAAGGCAAAGCAGGCTTGCGCCGCAATACGCTAGCAAGCTCGAGATCTTGCACTAAATATGGGTCTAAAAGAACTTCGTTGTTTACAACATTATACTCAGCCGAGAAATTGAACATGAAAACGAAACACTGCAAGATTTTAATAATGCTACGTGTAGTGTATACAAAGTCTTCTGGGAATGTGGATGGATTCATGCAGCTCCTATGATAACTACAGCTAATGACAGCTATTGAGCTCGTCACAGACATAAATGGGCTCATGGGTCTATTAATATAGGGTATTGATCGTCGCTATATTCTATATCAATGACTAGCAACGAAATTAGACCCTGAATTCAGAGGCAAAGTGATGACGTTGTAGAGGAAGGCATTGGTTGCTACTATTACATGGCCTGGACGTTGGCTGTAACCCCATCTTGTGGCTAGTATCTAGCAAAATGCAACAGCATCCCAGTTCAAATGATCTCAGTAGCCCATGGCTGTGGACTGAAAATTCGTCCGGCTCTGAGCTTACTGACGACTTCGATAACGGAGACGCTCAACAAATTTGATGATAATTTCGTAAGCAAGATCATCAACAGAGCTATCCAGCGACAACAATTACTAGTGTTTAAGAAGTACGTCGAAGAATAAGATGCGTTAAAGATCAAAGGCAGCCCAAAGGGGTGGGGGGGTCGCATATGTACAGTAAGCAATTATTATAGAGATTTGTAATCTTCCAAGTTTTGCTATGACAGTCAGTTTCAAGGACTCGGAAGCATTTTAATAGCATTAACTAAACAAAATGTATTTTAATCTAGATTCGGCAAGGTTTAACAGTTTGACTCGGTCGCTCCTCTGAATTAGCCCTAAAGTGTGCGGATATTCTATCATCAGTGAAGAAATAGCCCATCTACTTCGTAAAAGCTCATCCCCAAAAGGGCGGTCTGAGCTTCATTATTCCAAGCAAAGCTTATCATTACTAGCTCATTTTGTTTTTAGTCAATTTTATGCACTACGTGCGTAGAAAGCTCGCCCTGTATAAGTATATTTTTATGTGTGAAATTCCATTCCTACTTTGTATCCCATCAGCTGCGGAATGGCGTCAGTACATACGTCTCCGGCTTTCTCCAACGCTGATTCCTTTATGATCGCTTTCATTGAGTGCATCGAAATGAACTAAGAAAGCAATACTGGAAAACAACAAGGAAGAATACGTGATACGTAACTGCCTCTTATATGAATATGTATCTATATACTGACGCGATTCCGCAGTTGATGGGTTAGGTATGGGCGTTCCAAAACCTGATCACACCGGCCAAGCAATTTTTCCAGGTGCATCGGAACCGATACACAATGACAGTCCAGGCACGCAGCTTGTTGCTGTCGGTGATAAATCTATGAGTACAATGACAATGTGAGGTGCTGAAGACATGTAAATGGAAATAAGTTGCAGTCACGTTACGCTTAGCTCGAATGGAGCATTGAAAATCAGGCCTGCAAGAAGACGGGTCAATGGATGGCGTTTAGTTGTAAGCATCTAGATATAGCCACGCCTCTGTGGAGATTGTCAGATGCGAAGTGCGAAATGCGAAGTGCGAGGTGCGGGATGCGAGGAGCCAGGATGTGAGCCACGACGGTTGGTCTCTTACTAATGAACGAGTAGGAAACTACATAAGTATCTTGAACAATATTTCCCAATTTTGTTCAATTGAGGCCCTCGATATCATGCAACAGTTGCACGAACTTCTTTCCAGCCGATCAACGCAAATTGTCGCTTGGGCACGACAAAACGGATAACCTCTCAATACTTATCATCAAACTCAAGTCACAATAGTAATCTTTTGCGGCCGAAATGAATTTTTACAAGTACTCCCCATCCGGGGCAGCTGCTATAGTATTTTTCGTTGCCTTCGTCATCGGGGGCGCATGGCACCTTTGCATCATCATCCGTAAGCGAGCGTGGTATTTTACACCAATGCTGATCGGATGCACGTGTAAGCTTCTTGTCAATATTCACTCGCTGCCTTTCTATCGTAGAACCAAATGTATGGAGATGCCCGACTGACATAGAATCGGGCGTAGTTGAGCTGATCGGCTACATGGGCCGCTTCCTCTCCTCCAACGCCCCCGACGTAATCGTCTTCTTTATGATCCAAGCACTTTGCCTCCTCGTAGCACCCGCACTCTTCGCCGCCTCCATCTACATGGTCCTTAGTCGTCTCATCATCCATCTCCGGTCCGAATCGCTCTCCCCTATAAAGCCTTCGCGGCTCACGAAGATTTTTGTTATCGGCGACATCCTCTCCTTCATTGTACAGATCATGGGCGCCGGCATGTTGGCCAGCAGCACCACCATGAACACAGGAAAGACGGTTATCCTACTCGGACTGGTCGTTCAGCTTATACTCTTCGGCTTGTTTGTTATCTCCTCGGCCGTGTTTCATTCGCGAGTGTCGAAGCATATGCCACCAGCCTTGATGGAAGAGGAGGCAAACACGGGATGGAGGCGACTGTTCAATGGCTGGAGGGGCGTCATGAGCGTTCTCTATATCGCTAGCGTCATGATATTTGTTCGTTCGCTGTTCCGACTTGCCGAGTACGTCGAGGGCAATGACGGCGCACTGCTCGGCACCGAAGTGTTTTTCTACATTTTTGATGCCCTGCTCATGGTCAGTGTTGTGGCCATTACTGCTGTCTTCCACCCGGCCAAGTACGTTCCAGGAAAGAAACAACTTCTCGTGTTGCAGAGCTTAGAACGCAGATCCTGAGCCTGCCGCATCAGGAGGGCACTTCTCAGAGAGGATGCATCAAATCATTTGCTCTGCTTTAGTGACTGAGGAATTCAACTCTGCTTGAATCTGTTTTAAAGTGTAAGATGCCGCTGAGATAGATGTACGATACATCTTTATAGACTTATAGACTCAAAATTTTATGCTATACCATCGAAGAATCCCTCATGATGAGGTTCATCGCCCGCGCCCTGACAAGTCGCGAGCTCAGACAAGAAGGGCGTGAGCAGATCCAAGTCTTTCACCAGCACAGCAACTTTGGGGGCCGCTAAACAACTCTGCCATGTGGGTCCGACGGCTTCGGTAAGCTTATACATGTCTGCCGGGCCGACGTCTCGGTACAACCACGTCTGCGGCAGCCATGGGAAAAAAGCGAGATAGTAGGCCATGACGACGAGAGCCCGTGGCCGCTTCTTGCGGGCCATGTCAACGAATCCAGACGTCACAAACGCAAAGGGCCATATTCGGACTTTGTAAGCGATACAGGGCTGTCTCTCGTTGTCAGAGATGCGGGAAA